AGGATTACAGGCGTGAGCCACCGCGCCCGGCCAGTGTGCCCAGTCTTGAGAGGGCTGACCCCCAGGCAGAGAGGCCAAGGCCCTTACAGTTTAGTCTGGACCGGGAAGGCTGGGGTTGCGCAACTCCTGCGCTCGGGGCGGGGCCCTGGCTGCTCTCCGTGGTCCTGAAGCGCCGTCTCCCACCGGCGCGTCTGCTCCCCCTTACACTGCATCTTTGGTGTCTCCCACACAGCCTTGGCCAGGAATTCAGAAAGCAGGGAGGCTTTTTACTTTCTAGCTTCCAAGATAGATTCATTTCCACAGTATTACTGGAAAACCTGAATGGTGATTTCTATTTCATAATTTTTCATCTTCTTTTGGTTTCATCTTTTGACAGTTTTTTGGGTTATAAGAACTTTTCTTCCGCTGGGAAGCTGGAGCACATAAACCCCCTGTTCCCTACATTAATAGCAGGCCATGCCCCCTCCCCCACTCCTGGAGGGGCTCCCCAAGCCCAGCCTTAAATCCAAGCATTAGGAAAGAGCCCAGCCAATCACACCCCAGTGTACCCCCCACTTCCTCAACCCGCAAGTCCCTTCCCAGACTCCAGCCTTGCCCCACCCCCTCAGCCACCAGGACACTCACGGGGGATCTTGTTGATCTCGTTGAAGAACTTCTCCTTCAGCTTGGCAAACATGTCCTCCTGGCTCTCCCCCGCGCCCCCACTCTCGGTGGAGTTGTCCACAGGCCCGACTGGCATCGTGGCAGTGGTGGTGGCAGGAGCCACAATGGGCTCCTGGTTCCTCTTGAAGATGTTCCTCATGGTGGCAGAGGGGACAGCTGGGGGGCAGAGGGGGGGAGGGCAGGGTGAACACTCCAGAGGCCCACTTCCCTCCAGAGGACCAGGAGAAGCTCTTTCAAAAGCCAAAGACTATTCATAATCATCCCTTTAGGTTCAAAGATATTTTGCATAACGTTAACAGTGTGGTACAACGACAGTAATCATGGCCGTCGTTGAGGTAGTACACTTATACGACAAGCACTGTGCAAAGTACTTTCCGTGCATTATCTGTTTGATCCAAACAACAACCTAATGGTGTTTATTGTTCCCATTTAACAGATGAGGAAACAGAGGTTCAGAGAGGTTAGGCAGTTTTCCCAAGGTCACTTGGTTGCATGTTCTGAAACAGGTTTGAACCAGTGTGCCTGACTCCAAAGCCTATATACCTAACTGCTTTCATATATCTCATTTAAATCTAGCCTCACAAACAATTTTTTATAGATCTCAACATACAAACATTGCACTGCTTTTGTTCCTAGGTATTTTATCCTTTTTGATGCTATTGTAAATGGAATTGTTTTATTAATTCCACTTTCGGATATCTCATTGCTAGTGTATAGACATATAATAGAGTTTTGTTTTTTTTTTGAGACAGGGTCTCACTCTCTTGCCTGGGGCGAGTGCCGTGGTGTCAGCCTAGCTCACAGCAACCTCAAACTCCTGGGCTCAAGCGATCCTCCTGCCTCAGCCTCCCGAGTAGCTGGGACCACAGGCACGTTCTACGTATATTTTTAGCTGTCCAATTAATTTCTTTCCATTTTTTGGTAGAGACGGGGTCTCGCTCTTGCTCAGGGTGGTCTCGAACTCCTGAGCTCAAACAATCCGCCCGCCTCGGCCTCCCAGAGTGCTAGGATTACAGGCGTGAGCCACCGCGCCTGGCCTAATAGAGCTTTATATTGATCTTTTATCCTGCCACGTTGCTGGACTCACATGTTAGTTCTAATAGTTTGTGTGGGTGTGTGCATGTGGGTTCCTTGGGATTTTCTACACACAGAATCACGCAAATGGAGACAGCTTCACATCTGCTTTTCCGACCTGGATGTCTTTTATTTCTTTTTCTTTCTACATTTCCCTGGCTAGAACTTACAGCACAATGTCGAACAGAAGTGGTGAGAGTGGGAATCCTCGCCTTGTTCCCGATCTTAGGGGGAAGCTTTCGATCTTTCTCCACTGAGCATAATGTTAGCTGTGGATTTTTTCTGGATGTCATTTAGCAGATGGAGCCCAGATGACCACGTGTTCTGGATGCTCCATTCTACCCTGGCCCCTGGCTTGGCAGTCCTACTCCCCCTCCTGCAGATACTCCCCGCCATCTCCCAAATATCTGGACCGGTCCCTGGTGCCTGCAGCACCCGCCCTCTCACGCCTCGCCGCGGCGGGCAGGAGGCAGCACAGGCCGGGGAAGAGGCTGACTGGGACTCCCAGGATGCTCCCCACTCCTCAGATCACCCCAACCAAATCCCTTTCCAAAACCTGACTGCTTCATATAAAAAGTGTGGAAAATAATACCTACTTTTCAGAACCATTGTGAAAATTTAAAAATAAATTTACTTGTGTCTGGCACATAGATGACATTCACTGAATGTGGGCTGCAGCCGAATTTGGGACGTGTTACTTAAGCCCCAGATAAGGTGCCTGGAAGTGGCCTCAGCACCACAGAGGGACCGAGATCCGTGCTGTGTTCCCGGGGACTCCCCTTACAGCTGCCGGGAGGGAATGCGGAGATGTCAGGAAGCAGCAGCGGCAGCAGGCTGGTGCCTTTCCAGGGCCCGGAGCCTGGAATGCCCTTTTAAATCCACCTCCTACAAAACCACGAGGCTACAGCTGCCGGAGAGCAAGGGGATCGCGAAGATGCTTGAGAAGGTGGCTTTGATGAGACGCCGGTGGGGGCGGTGGGCCCAGGGACACCTGGGGGAGATTCAGGGCCCATCTGCTCCGTCTCACACGAGTAAACAGCACCAGGTGCTGGGACTAAAAGCCCTGGGGTCATCCTTCCCATCCCTGTGGGTCACCCCACACCCAGGCATCTGCAAACTCATCCACTCAACCCTCAATGTGTTCCCAACTTGGCCGCTGCCCCCTCCACCTGGAGTACCACGGTAGCCTCCTTTCTGGCAGCTTCCACTCTCCTCCAGTCAGTCAGTCTCCGGCCCGCAGCCGGGCTGATTTATTTAAAACCCTCCTGTGGCTTCTTGCCACACTTAGAATAAGATCCCTACATGGCCTGGACCCTGGCTGGCTCCCACAGGCACTTCCTGTCACGCTCTCTGTCCCTCGGTGCCTGCCACTTGGCCTGCTCACCGCCAGGCACAAGCCCACCAAACAGACCCCTCCCGCAGCCTGGGACGCTCTTCCCGCATTGTGTGTGTACGTGAGACCCCAAAGCTGGCATGGCACGCAGCTCTGAGAACTGCCCAGCCTTCCTCTCCTCTTGCAGCAGCTTGGGGCTGTGGAGAGCCAGACACGTCCCCTTATGAGCCATTTGACCTTGGGTGGTTTCTTTCGCTCTCTGAGCATCAGACTTCTTAACTGTCAGATGCAGCTTTGATTCCTAACGCGTGCAGTTGAATGGGATTAAATGAGATGATGTGTGGGGGACCGCGTGCCCTGCAGCCCAGAATCCGCCAGAGCATAGGGAACTGCGGCTGTCTTTCCAAGGCTGCCCTTGGCTTGCACGTCCCTCTCCCCCGGGAGGTCCTCCAGCAGCCGAGAGACTAAAATCCCCTCGGCAGACTATCCCTCTGATGTGACCTAACAACCCCTCGTCACCTAGCTCTGCCTTCCCTTCTGGAGTCAAAGAAGTAAAAAAAGATGTAAAAAGTGGGAAGGCAGCCAGAGCCCTTTCGTTCCCTCCACCCCTCGCTCCCCACTGTGCCTGGCGGCTCCTCTTCTCCCAGCCCCTCTGATCTGCTCCTGGGGGGCCCTCTGAGGCCTGCCCTGCAAGGGTGGGGGTTCCTGCCAGGACAAGGAGGGTGCGAGGCTACTGTCCCTCTCGCCCCTCCCGGTCTGGTCTCAGTCCAGGGCGCGCGGTGGTCCTGTCGCCAGAACACGAAACCCGCAGCGGCTTCTCCCTTCCCTCAGAGGAAAGCCCAGGTGCTTACACCAGCCCCAGGGCCCCGTGTGCCTGGCCCTGCCCTGGCGCCCCCCCCCGCTGCGGCTCTCCCCGTTCACACCGTCCAGCCACACCGGCCTCCTCTCAGACCTTCAAACGCACCAAGCACCCTCTTACCTCAGAGCCGTGGCAGCTGCTGTTCCCGCTGCCTAAAATGCTCTTCCTGCAGATCTCCGCACAGCTCACTCCTTCAGCTCAGTGAGGTCATCTGTGATGACGGTACTTAAAACTGCGACCTACCGCCAACCACCGGCACTCCCGACCCCGCCCTCACCTATCGTTCTCCACAGCGCTCATCACCAACTGACACATTATCAATTTTATTTGTCTCCCTTCACTAGAATTTAAGATTCACACTCACACCTGTAATCCCAGCACTTTGGGAGACCAAGGTGGGAGGATCACTTGAGGCCAGGAATTCAAGACCAGCCTGGGCAATATCACAAGACCCCATCTCCATATAAAACAGAAAAATTAGGCAGGCGTGGTGGTGCGTGTCTGCAGTCCCAGCTACTTAGGAAGCTGAGGCAGGAGGACCGCTTGAGTGCAGAAGTTCAAGGCTGCAGTGAGCTACGATGAAGCCACTGTACTCTAGCCTGGATGACAGAGCAAGACCCTGTCTCTAAAATAATAATAGGATTCATGAACGCAGGGATGTTTGGCCAGCACATAGGAGGCGCTCAATAAGTGTATGCTAAGGGCTGGGCGGATCAGAGGCCTTTTGTCTCTTCGATGCCCGTGCTGTCTAGCCTCCCAGGCCTCTCCCAGGTGTGAATGTTTGCACTATCACCACCATTTCTGTAGCACTTACGCATTTGAAAAAAAAACAAAAAACAAAAACACAAAAACCCCTTTCTTTTGCTCTCTTGGATAAGCTTAAGGGGCGGGTGTTTTTCAACCCCATGGATCACACCAGAAGCTAAGGAGACAGAGACGCTGGGACTTAGCACGTGTTCCCAAGACTCCTGTGAGAAAAGGAAGCCCAGAGAAGCGAAGTAACTTATCCAAGGTCACGCAGGCATGCGGTGGCAGCAGAATCTAAGTCTCTGGACCCCTAGTCCAGAGCTCCTTCCCCTGCAGCGCAGCGGCCTCCTCCGCCTCCGGCGCTCTTTCCCGCCCCAGCGTGCAGGCTTCCGGTGGCTGAGCAGGGACGAGGACAAGAACAGCACGGAGGAAAGCCGAATCCTCGGGGATTCACAGCTGCCCTGGCCCCGCTCGCGGCTCAGAGCTGCGGTGCTGGGGAAGGCAGCAGCGGAGGAGTTGAGGGTGATAAATGGATC